CATAAAAGATGACTTTACTCTCTTGTTTTCCTGGCCTGCTGTAGAGTCTGTAGCCTTCCAGTGCAATACTCTAGTCATGCAAGTCATCCCACCATATCTCCATCCATCTCCATCCATCTCCACATCTCCAAGCAAGATCCCAGCTCTGCAACTGCACAGAGATCCCTGACTCATCACACTTATTCCCCATGCCTCATTCATTATTGTATATGCATTTCAAAGAGGTATCCTGGCAATACACAGATTTCCAGAAATGGTTCTGGGGATTTCTCTGTAATGGTGCCTTGTAGGCACTTCCTTGCTCATATGCAAATACTGGGTGACCCTGCTTAATCCCTGTTTTTGTTGATTTTGTGATCCCCGTCTGTCACATCACTGCAGGCCCTTTGCTCATCCACCCTGTCAGTCACTTCCCCACAACGCTGCCAGTTACTTTCTCCCTCCCCATCATTCCTAGTTCAAAGCCCCCCTTACAAGGTCTGCCATCCTGCTAGCAAAGATGCCTTTGTCCTGCCTTAGTAACATGGATCCTCTCTCACAGACAGAAAGCAGCATCCCATGATTGTGGAACCCAAGACCCTGGTAACACTACCAGCTCCATAAGCAACTGCTGACGTGCACTGCCAGTGCCCTCTTCCTCACACCCTTTCCCTTTATTGGCAGGGCCAAGGAGACTACTACCCAGGCCCCCAGGTCCCTCACAATCATACCCAGAGCTCTAAAGTCAGTACATATGCAAAACTGATATCGTATGCAGTAAAATACATACCGACTTGGATGTAAAACTTACATATCCATTCATTTCAGCACTTCTCAGAGGACTCTATGGACTTTAACAATCCAAGGACACAAAACAAGTATTTCAGTGTATAGATAAACTATCCTGCATGGGATTAGTACAACTATTGGGTGCAATATACTATTTTAACAAGAATCTGAAATGAATGCTCAAAGTAAGACAATACTGTGAAACCTTAGGCTGAAATGAAAGAAAACCTGAACCCTGAGGGGGTAAAAGAATTATGAATTTTTCCTTATAGACTGGGTAAAAATTACCTTCTCAAGGAAACAACTCATTAAAAAAAGAGCACTATGTAATGATTACATTTAAACTGCAGCAAAAAAATATTAATATCATTTAAAGGACATAATAATGGATATTAAGTGCAAAAAATTCCAAGTGCTATGCAATTTGTATCTAATTTAACTTGGAAAGTAAGCCAGTGATTTCCGAAAAATGAGTTCTGTTAATTTCTTTGCATTAACCACAATAAAAAGACACATCTTAAAACCTTTCTTGAAAACTATACAAGTTACATACACCCTCTTATAAAAGCACTTTTTCCACCTTTTACTTAATATGAAAAAAATCACTAACATTAATACAAAGCTAATGTTTAGCAGCAAGAATAATTAAGATGTGTTTATTCTTTAAATAGCAGTTATTTAAAAATCATAGCAGTTTTAAAGCCAGAACAGCAAGCTAATATGCTACAGAAGTGCTTCAGACCATATATAGCAAGCAGGTAGAAAATCTTTACTTCTCAAAGTTGTCACTTTCAGAATATTAATTAAGTGGCCTACTCATAAATAGTCCTTATTGAAATAACTTAATTAATAGCTTGTATTAAGAATATAGATGAATTACACAATTCTGTGAATGAGCTACAATTGAGAACACAATGTAACACTAAACATAAACATCAGAACCAAGAGACATGCAAAAACCAAGGCATGCAGATTCTGCTCCTGGTTTATTCTATGACCATAAGATGCTTCCCTCCCTGTGCTCAGTAACCATTCTTCTTATAGAAAGCTTTCAAACACTTTACAAAGCTCTTTTAGTAGCCTTCCACCTTTATTTTTATTTAAAAAAAAAAAAAAAAAATCAAAATACGTATTTTAAAAATATTCAAGTGCTGCAAAAGCACTTCTTATACAAAGGTCTGTTAAAAAGGGACTTCACCAAGTTGGTTTTTGGAAAGAAAAAGTAGCAATAAATTTTCTGTAAAAGTGTACAGAAACTAGTTCCCTGTTTGGATGTTTTCCAGTTTTCCCCTGACTGCAAAAGCCCATGCGCACGTTACAAACTACCCCCAAGTCAACCCACTTCTATATAGTTTGTCCACCATTTGATACTAGTCAAAGTAGGCTATACAAATTCTTTTTTTTTTTTTCCCCTCAATTTAAACCACCTAAAGCTGTTCCGTAAAAGTCAAGTTCCTCAAATATGCATCAGAACACCTAGAAGTCAAACAAGGCATGAGCCAAATGCCTTCTCAGGATCACCTGCAATTCTGAAGCCATTTATGCAGCCTTCAGAGAGCTAGAAGTTTCCCTGTGCTACTTTTCTGGTCTCAATCCAGGCAACCATAATGTCTTGCATGTCAGAAATGCCATGTATGCTAGGTGTAGACCTCTGTTAGAAATACCACCTCCTGGAACTTGTTCTTTCTTTCCTAAGTCTCTGCCTCATCTACAAAGACTATTTGTATTAGTCTACACTGGTTACAACAAACAGTGAGAGAAGACCTTGGTGATGATCATAACATATTTCAAAACGCACTTTGCATCTCTGGAATTGCTGCAGCCTTCTGTGATACACCTGATGTTGTCAAAAACAGGTTTTGGGCAAAATACTCTTCATCTGACACTGTAGACTATGTTTTCTCAGACGTGCTGTATTCATTGCAACATGGCAGATGCCAAAATCCAAAAGTGGAGCCAGAGGCCAAACAAAAATGTCAATGTACCAACAATGGGTTCTTCAGCATTATCATTTGTCCACTCTCACTAGCACACCTTCCACTCCTGCATTCTACAACTTCACGCATCTAGCTGTAGAAGTGATAAGCTGCTGCCCTACATCTAAAAAGATCAGCAATCCTGGAGATCCCCTAGTAGATACAGTACTAACAAGACTGACTCAATGAAGGTAATTCACACAACGAAGACCAATTTCCATCATGCAAGTGTGATCCGGGACTGTTCAAGCACTGCGGTGACACTATTGAAGACTCATCAATACAAAGGTAGGATCATCCTAACTGAAGTACCCACTGAAGGCACAGTCCCATAAAAATCTTCGATCTATGAAATTACACTAGGAGCCATCAACAAGTTATGCAATAAAAAACCCAGCTCGTCAGTGTGACTCATATGTAGGCTGATCACCAAAAAAAGTAAGCCTTTTACAGCACGAGATTTGTGGGTACTGCAGCTAAGGATCACCAGAGCTACTACCTGGTTATCCTTAGTCACCAACTACCCTGAACTTCTTACTCACAAATTGCTATACTCTCACATTTAGATCAGCAAAAAATATCCAAAATTTATACTTATGTCACCAAGAAAATTGCCATTCTGTATTAACCTATAGCTCCTCATCTCCTCTCAGTCTGCATGCTGACCAACCCACCTCAGAAACGCAAATACTAATTTTCAATCCTACCTCCAATTCCAGGCTTGATCTATAAGAACTTTAGTTGATTATTTCTTCTGATTCTTCATTGTTAGCTGAGCTCAGTCCTTCCATATTACTTTGTCAATTCAGTTTTACTCTACCCATTAAATTCATCAGTGCCAAACTCAAATGTATGTACATATAGCAATATGTAGTTAAAATTAGGAAGCGTTGACAACTACGTGACCATGCCATTTACTGTTCACCCTACAGAAGACATTTTGAAAAGCAAGACCCTCTGTATCTTCTCAGAGGACACAGTTTTGAAAAGCAGTAGAGCCTTCTGAAATCCACAATTCAGTGCTGTCCTTTGGGAAACAGCCCTAACCAAGCAGGGTCAAGAGGGTCCAATATGACACACATCATCTTAGTCAGAAGTACTTTTGCAGTAGCTAACACAATAGGCATGCCTTCCGGGAAGCATTTGCTACTTGAGAGATTCAAGTAGTGATACAGCTCCATGATGCATCACTCTTATCGTAAGCAGTTGTTATTTAATAAGGGTGGATTTCATCTAGTCATTATTAATATACAAAGTAAAATACCAACTTGGGTGATCTACCCACAGCATGGCACACTCTCCAGCTGCAACTCCTCCCTATTATAAGGACAGGTACAACTGACCTATTTTTGTTTAGTTTTATGAGCTAATTAAACATAGATTACAATAAAAGGCTTTGCTGATGGAACTGCCAAGTGCTGCGGCCCTCGATGTTCTTTAATGGCAGACTCTGGGCTTGTCTACTTCTGGCCTGAACCCAAATTTTAGGCATAAAACTAATGAGATAGGGGAGGGGGGAGGGGAGGGGGAAGTGGCTTCAATGTTCCTGCTATCCCAGTTAGAAGTGCAGACTCTGAAAATGCCTGGCACTAATAATAGGAAATTGGCATTGCCAGGACAAAAGAGGACAATGACTCTCACTGCAAACCAGGAGTGGAAACAGTAAGACCAGAAACAGCAATTCACACAGATAAGCTGCCACAGAACCAAAAGCCTAAGCATCTTAGTTTGAATGTTTTACAGGTTGAGGCAATCTATTTAAATGAAATCCTAGGTTTTAGACCCATTTAAATTTTATTTTGAAAAGCATGTCATAATTCAGTAATCGGCAAATTTTAGCAGCAGGTCTTTATTTTCCCTTATATTTTCAATCCACTTTTTCAACATTTTAAAATACCTTGTATCACACTAACATATCGTTTCCTTTGAACGGAATCTGACAAAGTCAGGCTCTGCTTTAAAGATGCAATTGTTGCTGTTCTGTGTGTTAAGGACAAACCCACTTTGAACCCATATCAATAAGTTGAAGAAACCCTTAAAATAACTTTTAAGTTGTTATCCAGTGAAATATTAACACCCCAACATGCAACAATGCTGATGTTCATTAGTACTTGATGTGCACTTTTAGCTTACTGTTTATTGAAAAAGATTTTTGCAGTCCCCTTTTTAATATAAATCATAACAACTAAACAGCATATAAATAACTGCTATCATATACAAGAAGGGGTAGAACCACACCATCACCATCATCTTTACCTCTTTAATCTTGTTCCTCTTCTCTCGGATATCCGGGTCTGCTGGTTCTCCACTGTTTATCCCTATAAGATTTGGTAAAGGAACAGGGGGCAGTGGCTTGCTGTCTTTCTTTTTCAATTCTTGCACTACTTTGTTCTTTTCTGTCTGAATCTCAGCTTGAATCTCATCACGTGATTTCTTCAACTTCTCCTTAGCCTCTTCCAGAGCCTTTTCATGATCTGCTCGGATCTTATTTCTCAGACGTTCCTCTTCTTCTCTAGAGACACAAATGCTAGTCAGCATCACATTAATAAAAACCACATTGCTTATAATCAAAATGCAGCTTCAAAACAGAAGCCACATCCAAGCTGCATTACTCTAAGTAATTCTAATGACTCAGACAAGTTTACTTTATTATGTTCGTGCACAATCCTCCAGTCCTTTTGCCATGAACCCCAGAAGAACAGCGCACACATCAGCAACATTATTGTGGAAAAATACATCATTGGATTTTATCTCTCTCAGCACCTTTGCCTGCCTGCTCAAGAATTTAGAGAGGAAAAGCCCTACACCCTGTACTTCAACTACAGATGCATGCAGAGGCACATTTAGCAATCATTCAGTTTAAGAAATAAGATCAGAAGGGCTCTTCCTAGTCTTGTACACAATAAATACATTGTACACAACTTTAAGATCTGAAGTAACCACTATAAAAAAAAAAAATTTACAGCCACTCCTTTTATTAACAATAAATTGTGAGCTACAAGAGCTGCAAACTCCACCACAGCATGTTTTGTCTTGAATTCAGAATTCATTGTTCCAATCAGTGCAGCCCATAAACCTCATACATTAAATGCAGAGTTAATTATAAAGCCATTTAGGAATGTAAGAGCTTTCAGTAAAGCATGGGTTTGCAACTCATTGTCAACAAAACCATCATCATCTTGGTTCTAAGCACAGTCTTCTATCATGATCTTTAATGATCAGTAAAGGTTTTGAGATTCACATGCAAAATGAAGCGTGCCGTTTTAAAGCCTGGGTTAAACAAGAGACAAAAACGGCTCATTCCAGTCTCAAAATATTTCAAGGCATCAGAAAGCTACACATCAGACTCTCAATATAACATAACCTTTTCGAGCTTCTTTAAAATATCAAGTTGCTCAGTGACTAATGTAAGCCAAAATAGTTGTAGAGATTTAAAACAAGCACTAGTTAAAAAACAACAACCCACACTCCCTCCCTGTTTCCTCCCCCAGGCAAAAATACTTTTTCCTCAAAAAGCATTAGGGAGAAGACAGTGGATAATGGAAAGGAAAGCAGGCAAGCAGCAAGCCACATAATAAATATCAAGCTTGGCCTAACTGCTTTTAGGAGGAACCACTTGACCCATATTGCATGTTTTTTTCCAGTATACTGAAAACATACCAGTAAGAGGAAGAAACCATCATTTGGTATGTGAGAATTAGAGAAGTTCAGTTGGAAGGGACTCCCAACAATCATCCAGACCAACTGCAATTAAAAGCCAATCCAAAAGTTTACATAAAAAAAGGAAACCCAAGATTGACAACTGTTAACCAAACATTGTCAAATATTTTTAACAAACTTTGCAGGGAAAATATCCCAATTTATATTATATAATATATTCCTCATTTTGTTGTCAAAGTCTGTGATGAAGTGCTAACGTTTCCAGAGATTCAAATCAATGTTAAGAAGCTTGCTGAGGTGCTGTGTTGGAACATTTGGGGACATGGACAGATCTTAACTGAGCTTTGCAAGTATGGTAGAACTGGTTTTATTAATCTCACAGATCAAGATCCTACAATGTCTATTACAAGCACTGCTTCACCTTTACAAAAAAAAAAAAGGTCAAAGAATGAAGCTAATAATGAATAGCTTGCAGAGAGTTATGATACTATTGTATCAGAGCAATCCCACCAGACTTACCCATTTTGTACAAGGTTTATGACTGTTACATTCTTCTGCCAAGGGAGAGCTGATTTTAAGTCACGATGCAATATATCAAGCTTTCATTTCCAAATATTCACAGTTCAAACCCCCAGTGCACCAGCCCTGACTGATATCTCATGGACATCCAGTATATTTTTAAGGTAAAATTTATACGCTCTTTTCTCCATTCTTTAGCTTGGGCTCAAAAGCTTTGAGACTTTCAGGCACACAGTTTATTCTCAAGTTGACAAAATCTGGTATCACTTATCGTCATTCAGAAAATAACCTCCCAGTTTACAGGCCAACGTGCTTAGCATGCAGGGGGAAAAAACCCAGTACTGCAACATAAATGGTCTCAGCAAAATGCGTTATTACACAGTGTTTTATTGGCCCTTCCATTTTTCTGAAGTGCTATTAGGTTTGAATTTTAAAAGGTTATAGCAGCATTATTACCTTTCAATATTTCAGCACTAGAAATACAATGCAATGTTTTAACAGATGGACTGACTGAAAGGCTTTGAAACTGAAGTTCCTCAGCCACTTTTCTCAACATGACCCACAGCACATCCATGTTTCTCCCAAACAATAAAACACAAAAGACTGAGCTCCTCAATTTTGACTATCAAATCCAAACTCATTAATACTGTTAAACAGTAGCAGTGCTTCTCTCCCTCAACTGTAGAGCAAAAAAAAAAAAAAACAAAAAAACCCAAACTTTAAAAGCAATAAAACACTATTCTAAAGAGAGATAATACAAGTAACATTTAAGATAACTTTTACTTCTACTGTGACTCACAGGAGAAAATAAACTTCCTTGTATTTTTGCAGAAGTTACATTCTACTGTGGCAGTAAAGTGCTCAATCCTGTAACAAAAGCAGCTGAAATTTCCTATCTAGTGAAAGATTTGAAAACATAGATGTGTAGTCTGGAAAGCTTTTCGAGGCTAGCAGAGGGTTCTGTGTAAGATGCAGTGAGAGAGAATGAGAATGAGGTTGCCAGAACGAGACGCATCATTCCCCAAAGTCATATCCAAGAGACAGCACACTGTGCAGGAGCCGAAGAGATGGCTTAACAGAGGATAAGAAATATGAAGCCTTACTGAACATTTAAGAATCAGAAATACTTCAGTGTCAGGATAATGTATTTTGGAGGCAAGTTTCTCATTTTCAAAACACAGTTTCTGGAGGCAAGTGTCAGTCTTTACCTTCTGACTAGACCTACTATTTTGTTAATAGATATTGATATTCCTTCTCCAAAGCATCAACTATCACTGGGAAAAAAAAAAGAAAGATTTTTAGAGAAACAAGACAACAACATATCTCAGACCTTATGAAAAAGATGTTCAAGGAGGTATATCCACATCAACTGAATCCGAAGATGATGCTTTACAATGAGCATACTTTACTTGTAAGTAGAAAAGCCCTTGGTAAAACCCACTGTTCACATGCATGTCCCCAAATATATGAAAGAAATTAATGATGTACAAGTAGTTACAGTGAATTTGATTCACTAAAATGATGTGCTTTGCACACCTTCAAGATTAAATGCAATGAATATTTTGGCTTTACCTTTCCCTTACATTTTCAGTCCCAGGTGCTGCATACAACAGTGATAATAAAAGCTCTATCACTCTACCAACTTCATCTATTTCTAGATTCAAACTGCATGAAACAGCCATAAATTGGAAAACAAGTTTTGAACTCATGTCTGTTTACACTGTAGGATCCACGACAGAAACATCCAAAAGCTGTTGATTTCTACAGCACTATAATACAATTAGAGTCATTAAGGAGGTTTGAATGACAGTCTACTCACCTTCACTCAGCAAAATACCTAAGTATTTGAAGAAAATACACTGAGACTCAATAGAGATGAAAAATTCTAGCACTAACTGTATGATCAGCTCCAAGTCTTCCAGGAAGTGACATTTTGAGACAAATGTAAGAAAACAGAAAGATGAAGAGAAAGGTCAACAGGTATTTGAGAGAGTTTACAGGAGACAGCACAAGAGCTTCTTCTGCAGACACATCCTCTATGCAATTACCAATGATGGACAGCATGGGCTACAAGAAATGGCATATTCTACATTCCAGCTGAAGACATATTTTATCTAATATACTGAAGTATATGACCCTAATGGAAGAAAAAAGCCCAGACCCCTGAAGACCAAGACCACATGTTTCTTCTGAGTTCTTAAGCAACAAGAACTAAGTGAAAACACAGAATAAAGAGAATTAGAAGATTGGAAACATGTGAGCAGCTGACACACCCCCCTCCCAAGTCATAACCAAACACCAAGAAGCTGCCCATCTAGCATAAGAAAGAGGCAGCAATAGTTTAATGCATGTAGATAGCACCACATTCAAATACTCAGACTGAAAGAAAGGAGACCTCAGAAAGGCTCCATCTAAAAATGTAAGATTGGAAAGAATCCCAGCATAAACACATAAACCCAAATGTGTCAAACAGTTTCCCTATCCAACTACCCACCCAACCCCCGCTTCTAGGCAACATAAGCAAACTCTTAAAATATAGAGTATTTTGAGTAAATCTGCCAAACTCCTTACCTAACAGAAAGCTGCTGATTCCTTCTAGTGCCCTCCCCGCCAGCTTACTCTGAAGTCTCAAGACAGAAGTTCAAGTACCATGAAACAACAGCAGTAGCTACTTTAAAACAACCAGTATTATTAAACAAATCTGCAATGAGACTATCTTTTGCCAGCAGGAACCATAAATAGACTTAAATTAGAATCCAAAACTAGAAATAGGTTCAAGATTTTTTTTAAACAATCACTGTAAATAACCACTGCAGCTGCTTATGCAGGAACACTATGCACAAAACATCCCAAAGCTGTCTAAATGCCATTCACAAAAGACCACAAATGATAATGCTTGATAACCAAATCACTAACCAAAACTTAATGTGCTTTAATCATGCATGCAGTAGTGAGCCTTATGAACTTAAAAGCTACTAAAGCTTCACTTGCCAGGACAATGACTTTTAACATAAGTGTCTCCTATCTGCTGTGACACAGCAGGCTCTTTAGAGACAAATTGCAAAAAAGTAAAACCACCAAAAAATGCTTTCAAATTACTTTGTGAGATTTATTACCAAAAAAGGAAACAAAAATTTGAATGGAGGCAAGAAAACTGGCCACCAGTAACAGCTCTCTCATACTAAAAAGCAGAGCACTTGGTCACTAGAGTGAAAGCACCCCCAGTTTATCATTTGGATTTTCAGCAGGCAGACAGATAAGAACTGTTAAAGCACATAAATGTTTGTGTAAGTCTGTCATCCGGAAACAAAGCCTTGTGTGCAAATTCT